CTGGTCCCATAAGGAGAGGGAAGAGGTGGTCATAGATTGCCTTGCTTTTTGTTTTTGTTTTTCTTCTGGGAAACAGAATCTGTAGCTTTTACTGGATGTTTTAAGACATAAAGTATCATCCAAAAGTTGAGAACCACTAAAATGATCATTTGAAAATATACCTGAACTTATATAACCATATAAATACACACACACACACACACACACACACACACACAGAGTTATTTCTATGTGTATAGAAAGTATCTGGAAGGAAACACACCAAACTGTTAATAGCAACTACTTCTGAAAAGAGATCTTTTTTTTTCCAAGCAGAAGGCAAGGGAGACTCATTTTTACTCCATACAATTCTGTACTGATTTAAAAATTAAACAATTAATCTTTTTTTTTTTTTATCCTCACCCGAGGACATCTTTCCATTTTTTGTTCAGATAGAGTGGGAGGGAGATAGAGGAAGAGAGAGAGAAACATTGATGTGAAAGAGACACATCGAGTGTCTGCCACCCACACGACCAACCAGGGCCGGGGACAAACTGCAACCGAGGTACGCGCCCCTAGCGGAACCGAACCCGGGCCTCTCTGGACCGCAGGCCGTCGCTCTAACCACTGAGCCAAACCAGCCAGGGCAATAATTAATCATCTTTAATGAGCATGTATTACTTTTATAATTAAAATATAAAAAATAAATGTGATGTCTGTTTTATAGCACAGTGAATAGACCATGTTGAGAAAATCATAATAGTGAGGAAGCAGCTGCTACAGACTTTACTATAAACATTGTTACAATGAATTAATGGCCAAGAGTTATGCTGTATTTAGCAAGCTTAAGTCATGGCTGTCTAGCTAGGATAATGGTAAACTGCTGCCTACCTGGGTACTGGGCATAGCCAGGAAGCCCTATCTGACAGCAGATTTAGCTTGCACATGGCACCCAGAGATGGGTGACATTGAACGGATAGGGAGACCAAGGCCATCAGGAACAGCATCAGGCTCTACAAAAAGCATCAGCAGCCTCTGACCAGAGACAGATTTAACATGAATGCAGGTCGTAAGTAAAAATGGGCCAACCCGCCCTCAAGGTCACATGTGTGTACAAAATCACTGTAGGAACTGTCATCGTCTAAACACAATGAGCAAGGACATTGGTATTTTTTACAAGCACATATTATTCTTTTAGGGGGTCTGGCAGGTAGAACATAGAGCTGGAAAATAGTATACCCTGAGGTTTCTTTCTGACCATGGCCTTGTGCTGTCCAGATGTTTCCCCATTTTTACATAAAATAGCTTCTAGCAAAAGCCTGCAAATCAGTCATTCTGAGATCAGTGCCAAATCTTTGTCATGGTTCTAAAAATATCCAGAATCTGAATCACATAAAATCCCCAAATTTATTTTTATTTTTAATATAAAAAGAGTATAATAACAGCATTAAAGATTTTAACTACTTTCACCTTTCAGCCTAAAGTTCTTTTAAACTAAGTTTAATTTCTTATTCTACTTGTGCTATCCAATCCTTATTATCCCCCTTTCCATTTCTCCCTGCCTGCACCCAGTGAATAGCAAAACTTGAAACCCTAATACCAGCAGCAAACAGAAAACTAGCCAAGAGTAGGTAAAAAAGAAACAAAAGGCCTAATTACAGTCCTTGGTGAGTAAATGATGTAAATACCCATATTTTGCTGTCTGTTCATGTATAGGTTTAGTCTTTTACTCTGAGAATATATATAGTGAACTTGTAACTTGTATCAGTTGGCACCACTATCTGACAAGAAGCAGACACGGGCACAACGGCTAGCTCAGTGCTGCCTATAATTGTGATGCTATAAGAGACCATTATGGCCAACCTCAGATAAGGGAGAATTCACTATACTTAGATAAAAATTGCTATTTCTCAAATATTGAGGTAAAAACTATATACTGTGCAATTAGAATTAAGCTCAAACTAATTATGTTCTATTTGGGCTTTCCCCTCTGCTGGATAATTTACCATCTAAAATATTTGAAAACCTTGACTGCAAAGTTGAACATCTAAGAATCATAAGATGGCAGCTGTCCCATAAAGGCCCATCCCTTCCAATATCCTGTTCTTTTAGGAAAATATCCACTCATTTCTTGAGCCAACTCTAGAAGGCTTCCTTCTCTATCTACTGTATATTTATTGTGCACTTCAGGAAAAAAGATTTGCTAACACTCTGTTCAGCATTTATTTTCATTTAATTTCTATTTATATTCTGTATTCCAAAATTTCACTCAGATCTAAAATAAGAAATTCAGGCGTTGGCCAGTGTGGATCAGTGGTTAGAGTGCCAGTTGAGGACCAATAGGTCTCGGGTTCAATTCCTGGACAAGAGCATGTACCTGGGTTGCAGGTTTGATGATCCCCTGCCCTGGTTGAGGCGTGTGGGGGAGGCAACCAATCGATATATCTCTCTCACATTGATGTTTCTCTCACACATCAATATTTCTCTCTCTCTCCCTACCCCCTTTCTCCTTTCCACTCTCTTTAGAAATTACTGGGAAAGATATCTTCGGGTGAGGATTAAAAAAAAAAAAGAACTTCAGTAACTAATAGCTTGACAAAATGGCACCTATTTAAGATTTCAGATACTCAATGTCATCCTTGACTTTTCACCGCCTTCTTGCATTTAAGTGAGAATAACTTACACTACATTTTAAGATGCTATCATTCTTTTTGAATCATCATTAAAATAAGACTGGAGGAAGAGAGAATTATATAAAGGAAATGGGAGGATATAATGGTGGAATTTAAACCTTCACTGATGAAGTTGATAAGAACCAGAGCTTCCAAGGAAAGCCAGCCTGAGGATCAGGCCAATCCTTTGCTTCTTATCAACGTGAAACTACTGAAGTCTGGAGTTTCTGTCTGAAACTTTTGGCTTGCCTGGGACTGTTTCTAAACAGACAAGTTAGAGTGCTTATTGCTCAAGCAGGGACAATTTATACAAGGCCTAATTCAGGTTGAAGATTATTTTTACTTTGCCCCATATTTCCTGAACTCAAAATAAAGTGGTTTTAACCTAAGATTACAGAGATAGGAAACCTAGTGGGGTCTGCTGGGACCCTTATGCCAGTTTGCACCTTCCCTGGTCCTTTCCCCAGGGAGATGTCCTGGTTTCAGTAAGTGTCCTTTGCAAAAATTTACAAAAGTAAGTTAGTCCCAGAAAATACAAAAACAGATACTATCCAATTAGGCAAGAAGGGGAGTATTTTATTCTCATACTTTCTTAGAGGGAATATAAACTGATACACGCTTTCTGGAGCAAATCTGGCAGTGTTTATCAGTCTTGAAATCAGTATGCTCCACTTCCACGAATTTATTCAGGGAAAGTCAACCCCTGTCCCAGTCTTAGCCTTCTTTCTGTTACCTCTCTAGATTAGGTTGATGAGTCATTTAACTTAAGTCTTAATGCTCTGTATTTTCATAATAGACTATACTTAACATATACTCCTCTGGTAATCAGAAATTTAAAAATCACCAGTAAATATAAAATGCACGCTAACACACCGTCCAAAACCACTTGCATTCAAAAGTGCTTACAATTAACCTTCAACAACCAGTTTCTTTGATCATGATGATGATGAAAAACTCAGAGTACTTTGACAGTTTTTCCAGCGACCCATGGTTTGGGGATATAATAAAAAAGCCCATGTCCAGTTCTATGGCTACTACTTTCAGAGGATGATCTAAACAGAGCTTTCCCTATGGGCCCATGGACTGTTCCTTTAGGCTTCCACAAACTTTCATTGGAATGTAGGTTGATACCAATGTGGTAGCTACAGTTCTTCCTTTAAATGACACCTGGAATCTCATTATCTAATGAAATACTGTTTACCTCCATTTTACAGCAGGAGACACTATCTAATTCTTCTGGATCACGTGAAAGTAGCCCTGGGAACAGAGAGCAAGTTTTAATAGTTCTTTGGCCAAACCACACTACCCTACTATTTCAAGATGTTTTCTGAAGGGTTCACAGGGGCTACTTTTAAAACCTTCTGGTTATTGTTTGCTAACTGCTGGGATGGTTTTAATCAGGGAAGAAGTCAACATTTTCAGCTTGGGTGTTGGAAGAACTCCTAAAATGTCTCCAAACTAATTTAGAAGAAAATGCTTAACAGAAGAGGACTTATTCCTGCCCTGGAATAAATTCATTAGAACTGATATATGACCAAGAGAACTACATTTTTTTTTTTTTTAACACATTACAGCCCAAAGGCAACTGAGGTTTCTAAATTTTATCATATCAGATGACAAAACCTGTTCAACAAGGACCATCACCTTAATATACTGGTTGACAGCTTCTTCCTCTTAAACTAACCTTAGTGTTTTGTGTAACTTCTCTACTAGGATCCAGTTTTTACACTCGTTTTCTTGAAGAAATTTTCTTAAAGAGGTTTTATTTGACGACTCAAGTAAAATTTTCTGACGTGAAAACCTCACATCACCTCCATGGACGTTCTTCTCATCCGACAACCCTGGCTTGAGGCAAGTGAGGGAGTCCCTTTGTGATGAGGCCAGTTTAAGCCCATGTTTCTCAGTAGCTCAGATCAAACCAGACCCCCCAGATTTGGGAAGAACTAACTCAAATACCTGAATTAGTTCCAGAAGCATCTCTGGTTTTACTGACTAAGGTCAGCAAATCTCTAGGCCGCAGCTCAAGATACACTGTATTTGGTCAGCCGTGTATTTGTGGTCAGCCGTGTATTTGTATGAGTAAAATGTTTTCTAATTCTTGTATAATTTATCATGTATATATGCCTAAAATCCTACCCAGGAACAAACCACCATAACAAGGGTTTCTAAAGTTGATCCCAGTCCGGTCCACCTGAATCCAAGTCTCTGGAGATAGGGTCCTGGACGCCTCCTTTGTAAAGAAATGCTGTTACAAGTGCCTCTACGTGCTGAACTATAAGAACCTTTGCAGTAGAATAACTATAAGAATAAATGGAAAAAAATAAGTCCCAACAAGCAGAGGCAGGCAAGATTTGAATTTGAGGATTTAATACTAATGGGTGAATAATATTTAAAAAAAAAAAAAACAGGTCAGTGGGGAGGGATCATAAACACCTTTGCTTCAACAACTTCACCTTCACTAGGCTGGCTGCATCAGTGTGCTGATACTTTCTTCTACCTCTGAGAGCATCTTCAGAACTTGGTTGACCTTGGCCTCATCAAATTCCAAGCACAGAAATTCAGATTCCTGGAAAACATAAAAGGGTGTTTTAGCTAGAAGAGACCCTCAAGATAGCCAAGGCTCTGGATCTGGGGTGACCCAGCTGCAAAGGCCAAGAGCCCTTGCCCAGCAAGCCTGACTCAAGCCTCTGTATACCTAGATGATATTTTACCCAGCACAGCAAACCCAACAAAATGCCCTAAATGAAACTATTTCTCCGAGGTGTTTCATAAATGGTTAAGAGGTATGTAAACGTCAGGTGCTCTCATGAGGCGCATGAGAAGCTCTTCTCATCTGTCATCACTTTTGATCCCATGATAATTTTTACGTAAGTTCTAAGTATTGCTGTTTTATAGAAGATGATCTGGGACACAGAGAGGTTAACCTGTGTCACAAAACCAGAAAAAGGCAGAGACAGATTGTGAACTCCAAAGTCCATGTTGTCTCCACAGCACCCTGAAGCATAAAATGGAAGGAGGATTTGGATTGGCTCTGTGTTGCCCTGGGAATTGGGCTAACTTGGATTTAGTGGTTATACTAGAAACTGTGACAAGTGATGACCAAGTTGTTTGGGAAACATCCATCAGATAATTGAAAGATAATTGGATCTTGAAACAGCTGTAAATATTTCTAGGGCTTTCTTATGTGCTGCAAGCAGGCTCTCCCAAGATCTCCCTCAAATACATCCCCTTTAATCATTGTTAGTAGCAGTCAATCAGCTCTAGATTAAATCGATATCAAAGACAAAGGCCTCTTAAGTATGGTGACAGAAATTTCATGAGCACAAAACAAATTCTAGGTGTACACTGTCTTGATAGATAAGGGCAAAGTATATATATCCAAGAGTAACTATGTTCAAGATTCTTAAGAACAATAATCATGTAGTTTTTGCAGTAGTATGAATGTTTAGAAATCGTATAATCCAATTGCCTTGTTTTTTAGATAATGGAATCAAGGCTCCAGGCACGTTAAATGACATGCTTATTGTGGTCTCTCTGTTGATGGCACAGCCGCTAGATCAATACTCTTCTCCACATTTTCCTCTGAACATACTATGGCATTTCCCACCCCATCCCCAAAGTGGCAGGTAAAAGACTACAAGCCTCTCCAGAGGGAGGCAGTCACTCTGTCATCAGCTAGAACAGTGTTCTCAACCTGTGGGTCGCGACCCCTTCGGGGGTCGAATGACCCTTTCACGGGGGTCGCCTAAGACATAACAGTAGCAAAATTACAGTTATGAAGTAGCAACAAAAATAATTTTATGGTTGGGGGTCACCACAACAGAGGAACTGTATTAAAGGGCCATGGCATTAGGAAGGTTGAGAACCACTGAGCTAGAAGAACCTTCAGGAGTTGATTTTGACAAAGTACCTTTGCTGTTGCTAAGCAGCTGTGCTGAATCCTAGACTGATGGCACTTTACACCCCCAGGAAAAACAAATGCAAAGGAAAATAAGGGGCCTCTCCCATGAAAGCCTCCCAAAGGGAGGAAAGGCAGCTTTCCCTGACAACAGGGAACTTTCTCCTCCAACCTGTATTTGGATTGGAGAGGGGTATAGTCTCATATGTGAACTTAGAAACTGCCAGGTTTTCATTTACTTGAAAGCAAAAACCAGTTTAAAAAAAAAAAAGAAGGAAGTTTGAGCTTTAGGAGGAGCAAATTTATAGCAAATTAGGAAGTTCAGGTGGCTAAATTAAGAACAGGCCTCACATTTGAAAGCCTCTTATTCTTCATTCAGTTTTACCGAGATCTTTAGCTTGACTTTAAAACATTTTTTAACATTTGGCTTTTGAAACAATGGTCTAGAAACTAATAATTAGCAGAGTCTAACATACATATTTAGGAAATCGATAGAAAATATTACGTAATCCCTGTTTCACCTCAGTGACAGAAAGTTTGTTACAATGATAAATCACCTGTTTTCCATTTATATGAGAGGACATTATCAAGGACAATGATCACAGAAACAGGAATACCTAAGCAGAGTTTATTAATAAATAGCCAGGATCTTTTTTTTTTTTTTAGAATATTTTGCCTTTATTAAAATGTGCTTCTTGCAAAATCTATGTTGCAGGTTGTTTTTTTAAATTAATTAATTTTTGTTACAGATGTTTCTCTTTTTTTCCCCTCATTGACACCCTCTTCCCAATCCCACCCCCAACCTCCCCCCCGCCCCCACCGGCATTGTTGTCTATGTCCTTGTTTACACATACATGTGTAAAAGTTCTGTGGTTTATCTCTCCCCTCTCCCACATCTACCTCTTCTGAGGTTTGTCAGTCTGCACCCACTTCCATGTCTCTGGGTCTATTTTGTTCCTTAGCTTGTTTTGTTCATTATATTCCACAGATAAGTGAGATTATGTGATATTTGTCTTTCTCTGGTTGGCTTGTTTTGCTTAGGATAATACTCTCCAGGTCCTTCTATGACATCTCAAAAGATAAGAGATCTTTCTTTCTTATAGCTGCATAGTATTCCATTGTGTACATGTACCACGGCTTTTTTTATCCACTCATTTATTGATGGACACTTGGGCTGTTTCCAAATCTTAGCGATTGTAAATAGTGCTGCTACAAACACAGGGGTACATATATTCTTTCTGATTGGTGTTTCAGGCTTCTTAAGGTATATTCCTACAAGAGGGATCACTGGGTCAAATGGCAGTTCCATTTTTAATTTTTTAAGGAAACACCATATTGTTTTCTATAGTGGCTGCACCAGTCTGCATTCCCACCAGCAGTGTACTAGAGTCCCCTTTTCTCCACACCCTCACCAACACTTGTTGTTTGATGATTTGTTGATGGTGGCCATTCTGACAGGTGTGAGGTGATACCTCATAGTTGTTTTAATGTGCATCTCTCTGATGGTTAGTGATGTTGAGCACTTTTTCATATGTCTCTTGGTCATTTGTATATTCTGTTTGGAGAGGTGTCTATTTAGGTCCTCTGCCCATTTTTTAATTGGGTTCTTTGTCTTCCTTTTGATGAGTTGTATGAGTACTCTATATATTTTGGAAATTAACCCCTTATCTGATGTATCATTGGCAATTATGCTGTCCCATAGAGTGGGTTCCCTTTCCATTTTGATGCTTGTTTCCTTTGCTGTGCCGAAGCTTTTTAGTTTGATGTAGTCCCATGTGTTCATTTTTACCTTTGTTTCTATTGCCTTAGGCATTGTATTAGTGAAAATTCTACTGCGTATGATGTCTGAAGTTTTGTTGCCTGCATTTTCGTCTAGGATTTTTATGGATTCATTGGTCACATTTAAGTCTTTTATCCATTTCGAGTTTATTCTTGTGTTTGGGGTAAGATGGTGGTCTAGCTTCAATTTTTTTTCATGTAGCTGTCCAATTTTCCCAACACCATTTATTGAAGAGGCTGTCTTTACTCCATTGTATGCTCTTGCCATCTTTGTCAAATATTAATTGAGCATAATGACTTGGGTCAATTTCTGGGTTCTCTGTTCTATCCCATTGATCTATGTGCCTGTTCTTATGGCAGTACCAGTCTGTTTTGATTACTATGGCTTTGTAGTATAACCTGATATCCAGTATAATAGCCAGGATCTTTTCTCAACAAGGTCATAAATTTGTTGTAGGTATTAGTAGTCACATTATTATTTTTTAAAATCCTCATCTAAAGATATTTTTTTCCATTGATTTGTAGAGAGTGTGGAAGGGAAGGAGGAAGGGAAGGAGAGAGCAGGAGAGGGGGAGAGATAGAGAGAGAGAGAGAGAAAGCCCTGGCCGGTTTGGCTCAGTGGTTGGAGAGTCCGCCTGCGGTCTGGAGAGACCCGGGTTCGGTTCCCGCTAAGGGCTCGTACCTCAGTTGCAGTTTGTCCCCGGCCCTGGTTGGTCGTGCGGGTGGCAGCCACTCGATGTGTCCCTTTCACATCGATGTTTCCCTCTCTCTCTCTTCCTCTCTCTCCCTCCCACTCTATCTGTACAAAAAATGGAAAAATGTCCTCGGGTGAGGATAAAAAAAAATAAAATAAAATAAAAATAAAGGAGAGAGAGAGAAACATTGATATGAGAAAGACACATGGATTGGTTGCTTCCTGCCCAAGCCCTGACTAGGGCTAGGGATCAAGCCTGCAACCCAGGTATGCACTGTTGACCCAAAATCAAACCCAAAACCCTTTGGTGCACAGGCTGATGCTCTAACCACTGAGAATACCGGCAGTACTCACATTATTTTTTTTATTAGCCCTCTTAAGTATTAATGAAGCTCAGTTGTTTTTTTTGGTTTGTTTTTTTTTTCATCCTCACCCGAGGACATTTTTCCATTTTTTACTCAGACAGAGCGGGAAGGAGAGAGAGGAAGAGAGAGAAACATCGATGTGAAAGGGACACATCGAGTGGCCGCCACCCACACGACCCAACCAGGGCCGGGGACAAACTGCAACCGAGGTACATGCCCTTAGCGGGAACCGAACCCTCTGTGGACCGCAGGCTGACGCTCTAACCGCTGAGCCAAACCGGCCAGGGCAAGCTCAGTTTGTTTTTAAAGGAATTCAAATACTAAAGAGAAATAGCAGGCTAGATAAAGAAAGTCAAAAGTTAAATATTTTCTGTGTTCTCCCAACCTTCACTTCTTACCCCTTGAAATAATGTACACTAAAGTTTTAGAAAGACACATATAACCATACATGACTTTTGAAGAAACAGTTTACTTGAAACAGTATTATCAATGCCTAGCTTCATCTGGTTATGCTATCAATATCTTATGAGGAATTCAAGAGCCTTTAAACTGAGGTTTAACACCTGGGGCTTTTTTTCTTTTTAAAACATTTTTTGTTCTTTATTGATTTCAGAGAGAGAGGAAGGGAGAGAGAGAGAGAGATAGAAACATTGATGAGAGAGAACATTGATTGGCCACCTCCTTCATGCCCCCCACTAGGGATCGGGCCCACAACCAGGACATGTGCCCTGAGCAGGAATCGAACTGGTAACCTCTTAGCGCATGGGTCGACGCTCAACCACTGAGCAACACCGGCCAGGCCTGGGGCTTCTTTTTAAATTTCACATTTG